CCGCCACTAGTATTTCAGAATTAAAAATTTAATTAAATAATCCAAAATGTTAATTTACATACTTACATGCTGTATCACTGTTTGTACATCCTATACATTCTCCTCCTGCTGATTTATAACAATTAACTATATTACAACTGTAATCTGAATATTATGCTAATTTATTAAATATTTTCTCGCTTATGATTTTATGCAAGCTCATGTTGTTCCTGGATAAAACTCACGTTTTGGTTTATAATCCTAACAACCATTACCATCAGATAGGGATTTACATATCTCATAATAGGCTTAAAATTAAGTATGATCAAGTCCAGATTCTGTTATGTCATCACAACTTCCATTTATTACTAGTTGGCAATAGTTATTGTACTGAATACAATTTTTATTATTAGTTTAAATTGAACATTTATTATAGGAGTCATACTCTTTTCAAGATGCCTCCAAACTTAACATTTCCTATTTACCATCAGAAAAATTTTTACAATCAATATTGATTTCCTAACAAGAATAATGAATCAGTTTCTACCCAATAAACAATATAAATTCTGTTTGAGGATCACTAAAAGGCTTACAATTATACCATTCCAAACACAGACTTTCTATTTTTTAATTTGGATTGTGAACAATTTAATTAATTACTGTATTCATCACATGTATTCTTGGCAATCTAACAACCTGTAGTTAAAATATTTACAGCACAATCAGCAAAAAAATTCTGACAGAGTGTAAAATCATAATTATATCAAATTGAGTTTTAAATTGAGATGCAAGTTATACCAGTCCAAAAACAAATACTTAGACTACCAGTAGCTTTAAAATATAAACAATTGCTTTCAGTAAAATTTAAATCAAACTTATCAACTTTTACTAAATTGAAAGTGAAATTAGCATTAGCATTTAAGCATAATAAATATAATTTATTTATAAAAATCTTATAATTATAATAACTAGTAATGCAAAACTGGTTTACTCATCACCTCTAACATCTTTACAAGTTGAACTAATCCAAACGCAATGTTTTTCAGCTCCATTTACATAAAGAATAGTACAATTATTCTCAACTGTCTTGAACAAGAACTTACATCAATCTTAATCACTTCAATTTCATTAATTTTTACTAATTATAAGAGAGATTACAATTGTTGCTTAGAAACAAACTACTTTTTCTCCTTTTTATATTAAACATCGTAACTTAAAAATAAAAATATCAAATAAAGCTAATCGTTGAATTTTCATGGAATCTCTACCAATTTAATTTAGGGAAATTAATTATTGAAAAATCTAATTAATCAATTTAGCTAAAATAACACTATTTACAATTGAATTTAAGTTACAGCAATACAGTAATCTATCATGATTAAATTTATATCATCATTTTAATCAAAAACCTTTTCAAACTGCTAGATTAATAAAACAATAATTGCTCAGCGAAAACCGATATGCTTATTTTAAGTATGAAATGAAAATCTTTGATTGAATAAAATATTATAGAGAAATATGAAATCTTAATATTAATAATTATCAATACAATATATATAATAAATAAGAACATAATATTTTTCATAATTTTTATTCATGTTTAATTAAGACAATAGTTAATAGAAATAGGAAATAAAATGTCCTCAGCATCCAGAAAATGACGCTACCAATTATTGTAGCGAAAAAATTGCTATGCTTGCTTTTAATCTGGTCAACATTCATATCATGAATCTAAAATCTAGAATATATCTGATTTAAATTAGTTTTTCTAAATTAATCAACCTAAAGTGAATTAAACTATGGAAAACAAACTATTAAAGACTTTTTCAAAAAACTTAAGAGTGTCTTAATAGAGTAATAGAAGCTTTAACTTATAAATTTTGAGAAATAAAAGTTTATTAACCAACAATTAATAACTAATAAATAAGCCTTGTAGATATTATTTGATTTTGATATTACCTCATAACAATTAAAGGATTCTTCGGAAATCAGATTACCTAAGTTAATTGAAATTTTCGAATAGATATATTTGAATCAAAATCTATACTTGTTAATAATTAATTAATGGAATATTGATTATACACAATATCACATATAAAATATCAGAGGAACAGAATGGAGATCTTCAAAGACTTTTTAAATCCATGAAAAAAAATTTATTTTAGGTATTTAACTAATTTTAGTTACTTCTATGTCAAAATTAACTGATAGTGGTAATTTATTTTATATTACGATTAAATTAAAAATTTTCCCCTTATGATATAGAAGCTAAATTTTAAAAAAGTTTTATGGATGAATGTCTAATTATTGAATTATATTTTATAGCTCTATCAAAATAAAATAAAAATGAAAATACATACATTATTTATGAAGATATTATTTAAATAAACCCTTATCATGAAGATTTATTATGTAGATTGGGTAATACTGATAATTTAACTTTTAGAAAATTATTTAAAAGTGATCAAATTAACAAATTATAAATTAAGGGTATTTTATAAAGGTATTTAAATATTTCCATTGCTGTGAACAAATAAATTTGATTAATTAATCAGCATTATTTGGGATTTGTAAATATTAAAAAATACTAAATAATTTAATGGGAACGCTTAAAAGAGAAAATTAAATAATTAATTATTAAGATTAACAAATCAAATGGAATAAAAATTGTAAAATTATAATAAAGCACTAAAGATTGAAAGTTAAAATAGTTTAAATCATTTTGGAAGAGTAAATATTTTAATTAATGAAAAGGTGAATACTTAAAATTAAAATTAGAATAGAAAATTAGATGAGAAGTAAAATAAAGTTAGAAGAAGCTTAATAATCATATAATGTAACATTTTAAATAAATAAAGAATAAAAAAATTCATAGAGATTGGTTCAAACTTAATTCTTTAAATAGAACTAAAAGTTGGTTTTTGAGAGAGTTACTTTTTTATATGATAATTAGTAATTATTTCAAAACAAATGGAGCTTAAGCCTTACATCTAATGTAAGTCATTATAAACTGGTTGGACATTTTTATTCATCTCTTCTCACTTGCAATATGTATATTCTGATCAGTAAGATAATTTATCTTTATATATGCAATAGAAATAATGAAGGTAATTAAAATTTGATATTTTAGGGAATGAGCAAATAAAGATTTTTAAACTCTAGTTTTGAGACATTTTATTACTGCTAAAGTAAAAGCTAGTGATAATTAAAAAGAACAAGATAATTAGTTTTGCTGTATAGTTTAATTTTCAAAATCCAATTTCATTGCTTCTTTTTGATTCATACAGGGCTATGTGCAATATTGATATTAATATCAACATAAATCCTTAAATAGCATTAATACTATTGAAGATTTCAACTAAAGAGTCAAATTTGTAATGGGAAAATTATAAAATTGCACTGAACATACATGATTTTTGTTGGTTTAAATGAAAAAATGTAAGAAAACATTTATGAGATTTACTTTAATTGTTTACTAAAATACCAAAAAAATCATGTCAAACAAACAGATACCAAATCTAATAAATTATGTAAAATCTGCTTAAATAAAAAAAATAATTAGATGTAAATATGGAAATAAGTATGTGTAGCAATGATAATAAAAGAATATATCTATTTCTCATCATTATTTAATATAAGATCACAGAAAATCTCAGATCAGACCCAGATCCCAAAAAATTGTAAATAAAGATTCATAATGATAATTTTAAAGTAGAACTGTGATAAAGAGAATTTATTGAATTAAATCAATTCATAAATGTAATCATTATTTGAAGTTTGAAAAAAAATAAGGCTTATTTGAGTAAATTTCATAATTAAATGTAAAATAACTTTATTAGATAATTAATTCAATAATTAAAATTTTCTTTTTGATTTAACTTTATTAATATTTTTTTAACTAATCATTTACAATAATTTTAGTCAAATGAATAACAGAAATGATAATAATTTATCAGTTTTATATTATTTCCATCAAATCTTCATTTATTTTTAGGAATATTAAGTAAATTAATAGCAAACTTATGTTATAATTTTTCTGAGAAGCTATTTAAGTATCATCTACTATTATATATTTTTAATATGTTTATAATATGCAGTAAAATATTAGTTTATTAAAACAGATTTTAAATATATATATTAAATTTCTTAATGCCATAAGAATTATTAGGAAATAATTCTCAGTCAATTAAAAAACGAGTTCAGGAAAGAAGTGTAAGTGATGCTCTACATAGAGTTAGAGAATGGAGAAGAATATATGAATAAGGTAAGGGAAAATTGAATACAAACTAACCAAGAATTAGCCTTTAAGAAGCAGCAAATCTTGTTAAAATTCCAAAAAAAACTTTAGAAGACTATACATATATATTTAATAAGGTTAGTTCGATATGTAGAATTGAAGATTTTTCTAATAAGAGGATGAGATTTTTGAGAGGATTAATAGAAAAAAATAAAGCTTAAATTAAAGCAGCAGTAAAATTAGAAAAGAAAAGAAAAAAAAATGTATTGAAGTTAAAAAAGAAGATTCATTTGAAAATAAAATAAAGCTTGAATTTGAAAATGAATCTGACTTCTATAATAGAAAAAACTAGGATTTAAAAATAGATCTAAATTAGGAAGCTAAGTAGGAAATTAAAGAAGAGGAATAAGAATATTGTTTCCAAAATTAATCTTCAACTTAGACCAAATTTTGAATACTCATTATTCATTCTTTATGTATTTTATAATATCAGTACTTATATATTAAATATCATCTTAAATGAATAAAAATATATATATAAATAAATTTGATTAAAGCATTTAATAAATAATACTTCTACGTAGGAGTTCTATTCATCTGTTAGCATATTACAGCAACTTAAAAAGAAAATTATGGTATATTAGCTATTATCTATTCCATCAAATGTTTTTCGTGTTGAATAAATAAGTATAATTTTAGGAGCATAATTAGGTAATATAATTTTAATTACTAATAATAAATTGAATAGATATATAATGCATGATACAAATTCTTTCCTTTTTTCATCATTCTTAGTAAAATGTCGTTTTATTTTAAGAATTTGTGGAAACTTTTGAAATTATAGAATAAGGCCATTAAAAAATCACAGTTTTTAATTCTCCAAAGTTTTTTATAATTATGATGCAAATTACAACTTTTAATCAACTCAATTATTTTCTTTTTATGGAAATTATTTCAGATTAGTGAAAAAATTCTCTATTCTCCATACACAGAGATCAAGAGGTTGCTGGATTAATTTAATCTTGTAGAAAGTGATTTTTTTAATTTTAATTTATTATGTCCATTTTCTTTAAGTTGCTGGATTTTAAAGCTAGATCAGAGTTTATAGAAAGAAAATCGCACTAGTCGAGGTGGTAACAATATTCTATCGTTTAACTATAATACTCAAATAACTTTACATAATTCAATCATAAAAGATTTTATTGACTTAATTTCTACTTCTTCTTTATAATTGCAACTTTGTGTATTTCCATTTTACTTCGTACTAGCCTTAAATTATGTTGCACAATATACAGCTTCCAAAAGTTTCATTGAAGAATTCATCTAAATATAATTTGAAAGTCTTGATATATACTAACAAATTATAATTTGTTATTTAATATTAAATAATGAGGAGTAACTTCATATATTTAGTCTTACCCTTATATTTTGGATTGAAGTAGATGATTAAATCATCTATATACAATGAGTAAAAAGGCTACAGAGATGCTAAGAATGCCAGGGGATGAAAGAAAATATCAAATAATAATTAAAGTATAGGCTTAAAACTCATATAACATAGTATATAAAGTATGAGAAGCATACATTATAATGAATTACTGTTAAAGAAAAGATAAGGCCTTGAATTATGCCATAATGTAAAGATTTATTTGTTCAAAATGTAATGATGATTTATGAAGACATTCATTAGAACCAACTAAACATATTGTGTAAATGATATCAAAAAAAACAATATCATTCTGATGAAAATGAATGTGAGATACATTTAGTCTCTTAAAATTATCTGAACTGTAACATAACGAGAAAAATAGTATGAAATAACAAAAATAGAAAATAATAATAACAGAAAGCAACAGAGATAATGCCAAGAATAAAAATATGGGTGTTAAAAGATGATCAAATAGAAAAGAAGTTATCAATTATTTACAAATGAAGCAGGCTCCCATGTTGTAAAAGAGACGTTGGAATCTTTATTACTAAAAATTAATAGAAACAATGGCTTTTATAAACAAATAACCACATAATTAATAGAAATTAATAATATTAGGAAATAAATTACTTCATACGAGTAAAATTACTCATTTAAAATTTGAAAACATTTTATTTTAATCAATTTTCAAATCTGAAGATGTGGATAATTAGAACATGATTTTATTGATTATTCATCTAAATAAACGTAGGAATAAAATTTTATATTACTATAATGAATTTTAATTTCAATCTTCAAAACAATAAGATTATGAATAAAATTTTAAATACAATAAACAGAAAATAAATTTAAATATTTCAATATACAATTTTTTCTCAAGCAAGACCAAGATTATCGTAAGAATTAAATATTTCCTTAGAAATTTTAAGAAAGTATTAAAGAAGCTATCAAATACAAAATGAGGGTATAGATGGTTTCCTCATTTTTGGTAAAATTCGTGTTAAGGCCTAAATTAACTGTGATTTTTATAATTTTTGAAATATACATTAAATGAAAATAATTGATTCATATATATTGCTAAATTAAATACTTATGTTAAATTTGTCAGTATGTTTAGACCAGGAATCATTAGTTCATTCAATTATGGCAACATTTTCTAAACTCATTTTTACAATGATCATGT